AATTTTTGAACCAGTTTAAAATTCTAATTAGGCGATAATTTCTTCGAGAACTATTTTCTAGCCTTACAAAAGCAATTACTTCGAAAAGGTTCCCTCTAATATCAATTCGTTAGATCCTTATACAATATGTAGTATATATTATAATGATAATAAAAATTGTAATATTCATACTAAAATTTGACGCTACAGTCCGCCAACGTTCTTACGCCATAGTATGGTTAGCGTACTTCATAGCCCGCTACTGGATGAAAGTGTAAACATTATTTTTAAGGTGCTTGCAACCTTAAAGAAGAAATTCTCAACATACATGCCTGATGACCAAAAAATTACCATTTAAAATATTTTAAAATAAATTAGCATTAATTGACTTTTTAAGCAAGTTTTAGATCCCAATGCCGATAAAAATTTTATTTTTCCACAAAATTTAGATCAGTTATAAACTACTTTGAATACAATATAATACTACTTTACGCCTCTACCATTAGATGGCGAGTACTTTTACTTGTAAAACTGTAAGTGGTAATGTGAAAATAACTGTATTAGTCCACGATGTGGGTTTGACTAGCGGATAAAGTTTGAGAAAAATATCACCTTAAAATGTTGAACAAAACGTTATCTAACGGTAACCATAAAATGTTGATCATTTCTATCCAGATAAATATCTTCGTACTACCCCCCAAGTTCCCCGACAGAAATTTTAAGATATTTAATTTTTTTCTGTATGTTAGGTTAGACAGTTACATTATTATCATGCTATTTTTGAAACAGGATAATCATATAATTAATGACGTATTATTGACAAGTTTGATATTTTTGTCTTTTATGTCGGAGAATACATCAACGCTTAAAGGTAATCTTAGCTCAAGTTAATGAATTTAAGAAGAGTACAATACTAGATAATATTGATAATTTTTGCTTGGACACATTTCCCTCAAACTTATCTTGAATTTCACAAAATTGATAAAACTAGAAAATCATATTTCAAATAGGCAATCAACGAGTTGATAAACGTAGAGGGCCGTCCTCACGCAAACTTCCGTTTACCTTGATTTTTGGAAATTCCGAAAATTAAAATCAAAGCATTAAAGTAAGATTCTGGATTATTGAAAGTTATAATTATAAAAAGGGTAAAACGAAAAAGCCATCATAAAAAATGTATTATCACGATGAACATCATTTTATCGTTTATATCACGTTTGTGATCTTAACAAACTTTGATAATCGTCCGAATGATAGTTTATAAAAATTTTATGGACATAATTCGACATGATGTCGACATGAATTCGAGGGAGCCACAAATATTTATTTTAACCCTTATCGCGTTCATTATCTTTATAATCTCAGTGTACTGATTTTTGGTGTCTGATTAACCTTGATTGTAAACTATATTTCTTCTCACACTTGTCGCATGCAAAATCTTTGCGACCGTCGTGGACTGCATTCTGGTGTTTTATCAAATTGCCTCGTTCCCCAAATTTCTTCTCGCACTTGTCACATGCATAATCTTTCCGACCTTCATGGGTTATCTTTTGATGTATGAGCAAGTTCGATTTTTTTCCAAATTTCTTCTCACACTTTTCGCATGCGTAATCTTTGTGACCTTCGTGTACTATTTTTTGATGTTTCTTCAAATTGCTTCGCTCCCCAAATTTCTTCTCACAAACGTCACATGCGTAATCTTTGCAACCGTCGTGCACTGTTTTTTGGTGTCTAATCAATGTCGATTTTATTACAAATTTTTTTTCACACTTGTTACATTCAAAATCTTTGTGACCTTCGTGGATTGCCTTCTGGTGATGGAGCAAAAGCCATTTATGTCCAAATTTCTTTTCGCACTTATCGCATGCGTAATCTTTGCGACCTTCGTGTACTGTTTTTTGGTGCAAAAGCATAGTCGCTTTTTGTCCAAATTTCTTCTCACATTTATCACATGCAAAATCTTTCCTACCTTCATGTACTGTCTTTAAGTGGATCAGCAAATCCCGTTTATGCCCAAACTTATTTTCGCACTTGTTACAGACAAAATCTTTGCGACCTTCGTGGACTGTTCTTTGGTGCATCAACAGATCTAATTTTCTTCCAAATTTCTTCCCGCAATTTTCGCATAAATGATCTTTGAAGACTTTGAAGGCGTAATCGTTCAAGTCTTCATGTACTGTCTTCAGATGAAAGAGCAAATGGGATTTTTTTCTGAATTTCTTCTCGCACTTGTCGCAAGCAAAGTCTTTGCAACCATCGTGTACTGTCTTTTGGTGAAAGAGCAGAGTCGATTTCAATCCAAATTTTTTCTCGCACTTGTCGCATATGAAATCTTTGCAACGCTCATGGACTGTCTTTATGTGCGTGAGCAAACTCTGTTTATTTCTAAATCTCTTCGCACACTTTTCACATAAGTAATCTTTCAATACTTCGTGAAATATTTTTCTGTGCTTGAGTAAAGTTGATTTACTCTCAAATTTCTTTTTGCATTTGTTGCACGTGAAATCTTTGCGATCTTTATGTATTAATTTTTGGTGCGCAAGCAAACTCGATCTGTTTATAAATTTCTTCCCGCATTTGTCGCATGGAAAATCGTTGCGACCTTTGTGTTTTGAGATTTGGTGTCTACTCAAATGACTTCGGAACTCAAATTTCATTTCGCACTTGTCGCATGCGTAATTTTCTTGTTTATAGTGAATTGTATTTCGGTGTGTTATCAGACTTGATTCTAGTGTGAATGTCTTCTGACAAATATCACAAATATGTTGTTTGTCGTCTGAAACAATGATGTTAACTTCAATTAAATTATTTCTTGAGGCAACTTCTTCAATTTCTTTCTCACTTTTATCCATTTTGTTGCCTGAATTTTACGATAGATCCTTCTCAGTGTCACGAAATATGAATAAGTAAAATTAATCTTTTGGTTTTATGCTTTGTTTAATTGACAAACAATATTGAAAGATTACATTCAAACTTATTTGTTTTTATTATAAACATGATCAGTGTTTCGAGGGACTACATCAAAACCGTTTACGATTGTATTGTTTACAATTAAGATACCGGTGTATCTGTTTATACATACATTGTTTTTACAATATTTGAACTAGTTTAAAATTCTAATTAGGCGATAATTTTTTAGAAGATTATTTTTTTAGCGTTACAAAAGTAAGTACTTCGAAAGGGTTCCCTCTACTATCGATTCGTTAGTCTCTTATACAATATGTAGTATATATTATAATGGTAAAAAAATTGTAATATTCATACCAAAATTTGACGCTACTGTCCGCTAACGCTCTAACGCCATAGTATGGTTGGCGTACTTACAATCCGCTACTGAATGAAAGTATAAGTTTTATTTTTAATATGCTTGCAACCGAAGAAAGTTTTGGATTCCGATGCCGATAAAAATTTTATTTTTCCACAAAATTTAGATCAGTTATAAACTACTTTGAATGCAATATAATACTACTTTACGCCTCTACCATTAGATGGCGAGTACCTTTACTTGTAAAACTGCAAGTGGTAATGTGAAAATAACTGTATTAGTCCACGATGTGGGTTTGACTAGCGGATAAAGTTTGAGAAAAATATCGCCTTAAAATGTTGAACAAAACGTTATCCAACGCTAACCATAAAATGTTGATCATTTCTATCCAGATAAATATGTTCGTACTACCCCCCAAGTTCCCCGACAGAAATTTTAAGATATTTAATTTTTTTCTGTATGTTAGGTTAGATAGTTACATTATTATCATGCTATTTTTGAAGCAGGATAATTATATAATTAATGACGTATTATTGACAAGTTTGATATTTTTGTCTTTTATGTCGGAGAATACATCAACGCTTAAAGGTAATCTTAGCTCAAGTTAATGAATTTAAGAAGAGTACAATACTAGATAATATTGATACAAAATTTATGTCCAGACGGCGGCTCTGATTAATTGAAAATATTCAGCACAGTAAGTAGTCGACTTTTCATCAATTTACTACGAGTATTCAGAAAGTGATCTAATCTTACTCTTAGCTTCCGCTGATACATGAAAATTACATCTCAAAACTTAAAGTAAAACCTGTATGTACTTTGACTAAAGTAGGAAATTGGTTGAAAAAATATTAATAAGAAATAAACCAATCGGGCATAGCTCTACTAAATTTTTGTATCCAAATGCATCTAGCGGTAATCTTAGGCATCCATCATCATGTGCTACAGGGTATGAAAAGCTATATGTCCTCTAGAGTATCAGGTAAAAAAAAGATTTGATAAATCAATTCCCTTGATCTCAAAACCAGTGCATTGCGTTTAAAGTAGATTTAAAAATGTAATTAGACATACAACGTTATGCCAATTTTGTTCCCCAAAAATTCCTTTAATGGAAGGAAAAAAAAGTGAAGAGTATTTTATTGAGTTTCGAATGTTTAAAAAAGTATACTTTCAAAAACATCAGACATAGTGTATGAGCATATTTTCCGAACGCTATGAATCGGGTGATCTTAAAGTAATAAAGTACTTTGAAAGTAATAGTTCAATATTTTCAAAAATAAAAATACAATGTGCTTCAAACTTAATACTGTAATAATAAATGTAAAAAGTTATTTATCGACTTATACGGAGTATAATGTGGCATAGCCGTATAACGAGTTGATAAAACTTTTATGACTCTAGTAGTGACATCGCACGGAGGGTTGATAAAATATGAATGAAGCGCTGTGGCATCTACCGATGGTACAATAGCAATACGCTTGAGAAAACTAGACAAACTTGTACTTTTTGTTTATCGTATAATTACCGTTACCATACATTTAAATTGAATTGTAATTAGTTATTTTCAAGTAGATCTACTTGATTTGTCCTCATTTCTATTCTTGAATCATTTAATCGTTTCAATTAAACTAATCAAGACTGCGGTGTAATCCAACTTTATTGATAAAAAAAAAAGATTTTTTTACTTACAAAGTATTCGGGTAAGTTAACATTGTTTTATAAGTGAATGGCTATTTTGAAAAAAATAGAAATCTTGTATTTTTGAACGTCGACTTTTATTTCGTTTATTTATCTAAATGGCTTCATTAATCATACACAAATAACACAAACATAATTTTTAAGGGAGTAAAAATATCGATAACAAAATTTTAAGTGATCATTTTGTTAATCACCGCGACAGATAGTAAATAGATTTTAGTCTAGTATTATTTAATAGATCACATTAATTGGATATCTTACGAGTTGACCTTGTTATAATCTTACTGAACGTGCGAGCGTCTACGCGTGGTTCTCTGCTTGTCAAATCTCATTTCCATTTCTTCTAAAACTTTTGGAGTGTAACGGACGACGAGTTTCACGCAACTTTGCGCCTGCTTCAACAGTTCCACGGCTTTCTCGTGACTTTCCCCTTCGACGCACTGCAAAAAGTCAAAGATTTAGAGTTGAAAAAGAAAAAGAACAAAAACAAAACACGATCACGTACCATTCCGTTGACCGATAGTAATTGATCGCCTCGTTTGAGACCGCCGTGTCTGTCGGCGACTCCACCGGGTATGATGCGAGAAATGTAAATCGGCGAGTTTTGCTCGCAACCTCCCATCACATTGAAGCCCAGACCCTCTTCCGTCTTCGGCAGCTCGACCACGCGAGGGTGTGCGTGGCCTTCGCTGGCTGCGAATGCTGCAACTGTTGCTTTGGCCGTTGCAGAGGCTCGCAGATCTTGCGAACCTTGAGAGTCCACCTCCATTCATTACAGAAAATTTTAAATCAACCGTTATTGCAAACTAACGATTTGAAATCTAATAAATAGATATTTATTGACATAATGATGAATATTTATTGACTCTACCGTAAAGAGGTGAAAATTGGCAATCATAGATTTGGAATCTTGAAATCGATTGTTAAAACTACTTAATGAACAGAATCAAGTTGGCATATCACTTATAAGGCCGAAAATAGATGTAGATTCTCACGTAAAAAGAATAATCTATTTTAGCCAAAAGTCGATGGTTTCCGTTTGGAAACTCAGAAATATATAAATATATCTCAGTCATTCAAAGTCTCGATGACTCAGTACTGATACAATTTACTTCAATCAATTTAATGGTTTGATTGTTTAAATTTTCAACAATTTTTACCTTTACATTTTTAGAAATAATTTTATAATCTAATTCGAATGTATGTAAAAATATAAAAACGTACTTGCACATCGACTGTGTCATATATATGCTCGTAGACTTCTCGAATAGCACTGAGAAAGTCACTTTGCAGAACTTTTTGCAGAGCAGCTAATTTTGTTACTGGAACCTCGCCACCTTTAAAATGAGTTGATTTCAATTATTAAACACTGCGTAAGATTTGAAACAACAACAACAAAAAAAACGTAAATGGTTGTACTAACTTTTCTGTATTTTTTCGAGCAACTCGATCGATCGCTTGATATCTAAAAAACAATTTTCAATCATTATAAATAAAACTAGTACGCGATAATTCAGATATTTACCTCTTTCGAGAGTGAGACTTTGTTCGACAGCTGCCATATCGCTTCGATTTATTTTTCTTGAATCTTTAAAAAATGTTGGCAATCGTTACTCACTTTCAATTAATTATTATTTAACGTTGCACTATTTCGTTGCCAATTACCGAGATCGAATTCTAGAAAATGCTCAAAAAGTTCGTGAGATCACCAGAGCCACAGAATCAACGAGCAACGAAATTTTTGCCTTTAATCACAGCATTGTTGATACGTCCGTCACTTAGATCTATTCTTGACACTCACTTCTCGTTCTAATTCCACCGTGCTCGATAATCAATTCGAGGTCGCTCATGAATTTTTTCTCGTGTATTTAGCGAGCCTCGATCAATGTATTAATTACGATGCGAATTCGAGTCGGGTAATTTACTATCTTGCACTTATGCCCTCCCGAAATTGTTACACTTGTCCTACGAGTTGGCGAGAGCTGGTCAATGCCTCAAAATATGATTGAAAACAACTGCTAAAAATCACACCAGTGAATATGAATCGTCGCTGCCTACTGCTATGTGTATGGGTGCGCGATAGCTCGACCCCTTTTGGTGCGCATGACGTCATAGAGTTCAGCCGAGCTTACCCTCTGTAGGTTTCTTAATATAAACTTGTCGCGCGGCCACACGATGATAACCGAACGTATTGCCTACTGCTGCTCTAGAGTCAATTTTTCTACAATTGATAATTATCTATCTGACAATTAAATAATTTAAACTCTATAATTTTTTTTTCACTGTATTTTGCCCGAAAAATGTTAAATCGATCATATTGAATTATTCATATTGATTTACAGGACGTTGTCTGGATCGTTATTGCGGGGGTGCGTTACCACTACTCGATCTCACAGGACTGGTCAACGCCCCAAGGAAGTTGCAAGCCTACATCCATGTCGCGTGAAATTCATAGACATACTACCCTGCTAATGAGCCACATCAGTCCATACGCGCGCTTTTTTGTACTACTTTTTTCAGACTAGCGACTCGATTGAATAATGAATATAAAGCTCTACTTAACTGTCGAAAATATTTGGTACAGTAGTGTAGTTTAAAATATTCATAAGAAGTCGATGTAGTACTAGTTTTGGATGAGTAAAGCGGATAAAAACTTTCTGTGTAGTTTGCCTTCTTTTCTTTTGAACTCTAAAGCCCTTTCAAAAAAAATTTTCAAAATGTTTCGTTACATTATAGAATATTTTAGGGAATCATGTCTTGACATTAAAATAAATATTATAAGGAGAACTGACAGGATATTGATTTTAAAAAATGTAGACAAATACCACTGGAATCTTATTTTTTTTAAGTTATAATAATATTTATTATCAGCTCTTTTCTCTCTTTATAAGTACGGTATTTTTCTTACATGATGAAATAATGCTAGAATACGAAGTATGAAATTTATTTACGATAGGTATTCGTTATATCTTTCTTTCGAATTCCATCACACTCAAAAAAAACCAATAGATCCATCATTTACATTGTTATACATCGAAACATTCTCTTAATTAAGTACGATTTATCTTTTATTTTTTGCCAGCAAAATCTTAGTAAACTATGTCACGATTACAATTTTACACATAAAGGTTCGATTTTATTATCCATGTATTCTGTTTTGTGTAGGTATTTGTTTTGTTTAGCATGACTCCGAGATTTCTTTGATGTGTCAAAGAAGAGAAGATGTTATGAGCTCGAGAAACATTACTCCAAGCGTTGACAGGAAGACTATAGTTTCATTTACAATATTAATTGTTTCCATCTAATACAATTTTTTTAAACAGACACATTTTCCATATTACAACAGAGAAATTTTCATAAAAAGACAGTTGGAAATCTTTTTTTTACTCCTGTATTTTGCATGAGATCTTTTTGTTGAGATCGAAAACATTCAATAGATGAAGATGAACGAAAGAACAAAGCGATTGGCTGGCTCAAATTTTTATTCGAGTGAAATGAACACTCACCAATGCTCATACTTTATAATAATGATGGAGAATAGTTGTTGATTTATATAAAGCACTCATACAAAGGAGAACGATCTATGTCAATGGAAAACATCTATTCTTTTCACATACATTAACTGTTTCCAAAATATATTCTTAGAACCATCATAAATTTTTCTACGCTTTTCTATAATTTTTCCATCACATTTATCTAACTTGGAATTGTGTATCATCCTTGCTTCTTACTTAGTTTACATAAGCATTTATTCATATATAATTTCTTTTCTTATTTATTTCAATATTTATACACATTTATTATATACATTCATTCATTTATGTAATTATTGGTAAAGCATCAGTCGATTTGTCTTGTATTTAAACAATTTAGGTATTTACAATGCCTTAATCTCGTATATGTAATTCAATCAGTACAATCTTTCCTTACAATTTACAATTCAAATATTGGTATTTTGTAATTCAAACAACAATCATTATATCATAGCAACGTGTAAAAATTTTATGAAGCAAATATTTGTTTCAGTGTGATAGTAATTTTATAATGTAGCTAATAAAAATCATTCAAATTTGAAAAAAAAAACTAACTGAAAAATTCAATCAGACTCGCAGTTTAGGGAAGATTGCAATTTTTAAAGCTTATATTAACGGTATCGATGTGCGTTTAATGAGTTATGATGCAAGCTAAAATCCATTAAATGTATTTCATTTGGTATTGAGGCGTTTATTTTTTTTTGTGTTTTGAAAAGCAACTCCTAGATTATGCTACTTTTACGTCTGCAAACGAAAAAGATATTTTTTGCACGAATGAAATTATTTAAAATGAAGAAAATCATTCATAAATGAATCTATCGTCCAAATATTTGAAGGCATGATGTCGAACAATATTTCAATTCAAAATCGGATTAGATTTTTCCCTGTCAGATAACGCCTTTCACTTGCAATTTTTAACTCTTATAAAACAAATACGATTGTCATTGGTTCTATATTTGGAACAGCTTCATATTAAAGGTGTCGATTAACATTTTATTTTGATTCTATGTATATAAATTTGAACAATATTTTACGTATTTTTTTGAAACAAACTTAGTACTTTCAAAAGTTTATAAGCTCTATTAAAATTGTCATTTGAAAAATGTTCAATTCTATCAAAAATGCGACTACCATTTTTGAATTAAATACAAAACAAGATTCTTAAATACTTTTGACTTATGTATACTTCAGTAAAGAAATTTTTATTCAACTACATAACTATAGGCACAAAATCGTTTAAAACGATTTTTTATCGGTAATATAGCTCTGTTTTCAACATAGTTTACTAATTTTTCCACTGTCTTTGTTCTATATGATACAATCAATCGATAATTTATCAATGCTAAGATCATTCGAAATTTAATGATTGAAGAATTTATTGTTACAGTAAGAAAAAATTGTGGAACTTTACAAATATTATCACTAAATACCCAATTTTCACATAATGGAACAATCAAAGATCTCATTTAACAGATATGTCCAGCAAAAACTTTATCACGGTACAGGATCATATCAAGAATATTTTTAATTACATATCGTCGTAGAAAACTCGCGAGAAAATAGTTATTATCGATTAAATATAATAAATTAATTATGCGTCGCATTTGAATAGCTTATACTTTTTAATTCTACGTAAAAATGTATGTCGAGCAATAACGTGTTAATTTACAATCATTACAACTATGACATTTAGAAAATACCGATTTATTATTGTATCTGTCAGTAATTTTTATTTTATTTTCAAACAAAAGCTGTAACTATACCGTATTTATAGTGAAAATTCATGACGAAATTTTTTTCATTCACTTCACAAGCGTGTTTTGGGTCTAACAGTTTCTTACAACCAAATGAAAAAAAATTGCTAAAAATTATTCGCGCAAGAAATAAGTATTCTGTTTAGAGCACCATGTTGATGAGCATAAACTTTCTCGTTTGAATTAATAATTTAAGACATTTATTGAAAAGCAATTACACACATATCAATTGTACGTTGAGCTTTTTTAAGCAAGCGAAATTCTTTCTTTTTTTAGATTGAAATATAAAATTTTTGTCAGCGTTTGCTATCAAATTATTTCAAATATTAACCCTAGTTTCTATAATTTGAATATTATATTTTAAAAAACTTGTGATTTGAATGTATCATGTAATCTGTGTAAAAAGCAAATATATTTTTAAATTCAAAAAATTGAATTTTCAGTGATAAGCACATTTTTATATATACTAATATAATTATTTAGAACAATATCTAATCTCGCTAGTGACGTAGTTAATAAAAATGAGATCAGTTCGCTAAATTATTTAATAATTACCTAGGAACTTTCTAGGAAATTTGTACAACCGGATGTAACAATGTATATATTCTGATTCTTATTAAACGCATGGTGTATAACAATTAATTTTTCTTACAATCATGAAAACTATGTCAACGCCAGAATAAAAATAAAAATTTTCAACAGTGATAAATGAAACATTTTTTAAACAGCTCGAGATTATCTAAATAACTTCAATACAATCAAAAAAATAAGATTACTATAAAATTATTAAAAATTCTTATTTTTACTTCAGCTTTTGCAACTATTTTTGTGAAAATAGTTTTGTTTCTTTGACAATTGTGTTTCAATTAAACTAATTCTCATCCAAATTTCCATATATTTATTATAATTTAACAATTAATATGAAGCCAACACAAAAATGACTTATTTTATGATGTGAGAACCAAATAATTTTTGTTCTTATAGAAATAAATTTTAGTATGATACAAATAAATCAATTTTTTGTCATTAAAAACTTTCCGCATGTAATAGCAAGTTAATTAAATAAATTATTTTACTTCAGTTCTGTAAAGTTGTTCGAATACGACTAAATTTAATAATTTCTTCAAATGTTGGATTTTTACACCGCTCACTTTCATCTCATCGCCCCTTAATTCGTAAAAGTTTATTCAGTTCACTGTTTTGTGTTTTTTTATTTTACATATTGTTTTGATTTACCATGTATAATACTTAAATTGTACATTATATATATCTATTATTTACAATATTTGTCATAAAAATTATTCTATAACGTGGAGTTTATACATTAATATTTATAAAACATTTGTGGACGTTCCTTTCGATCAATAGTAATCAATGGTTTCATCATACAAATGAAAGAGTAGGTTGCACGATAGAAGCTCGATTTTTTTGTTTGTTTGGTTACTGATCAATTTGTCGACGATTTTCCCTGAATTCTAGTCCCTCTCGTAGCGACGTTAGCTTAATAATAAAGCAACTTTATACCGTTATAATTTCAAACGTTTCGTTTATGGTAGTGTTGAGCTGCAATTTTCATTGTTCTATCAAATTCATTTATCAAGTTTCGGACGAATTTTTTTAACTATAGAGCATCACCACGAAAACTCGGTGTATCGAGGCTTTCGCGTAATCAGTCGAATCACTTAAAAAATCGGTTTTTTATTTTTTTTAATTACTTATATGAAAAAACTGCGAGTCGCAGAAAATCGTCAGCAAATGAATCGTGTTTCAACGGTACACAGTGATCTTAGCATTATGTAGTAACTATATACGAGAGTGTTCTCTTTTCCCTGAGACGCTTACTGTATTTACAATTGTTTCGGGGAAAGATAACGATATCGAACCTGAAACGTGGTACATCGCCATTCACTTTATTGGAACTCGCTATATAAGCATCTCTTTGTGACAGAATCATTATTATGCGAATGGCAAAATCGTCAGCGTTCGATGTCGCTTCCCTGTTTCAAATCCGCAGCTATTATAATTCATAAATCGCAAGTCAACTAATTTCGAGATTCTTGCGACAAAATTCGACCTTGCCACAAAGTACTCCCTTGACCGCCCTGATGCCGCAATCGAGTGACCTTCCAGAAGGCACCGTTTCATGCTCCACGATATGCCGCTATACATTTGCCAAATGCATTAAATCAACGCGCGCGGTTGCCGCAGAGAAACAGCGAGTAGCAGCAACACACAACGTTTGCTTCGAGCAAATATAAACGATATCGGCCTCCATTACTTTGGCATTGTGTCTCGCACACGGCGGTGGAGACACAGGCCTCGATAAATAAGATAGGCCAACAAACGTGTATATAATAATAACGAGTGTGTGCTTTTGCGTGTTGATCTCGCGACGAGCCGGTGTCGGTGCGTGCGACGTCGTTATTATTATCAAGCAACGTGGAGCAGGAAACGCGAGCAGCCTAGAAAAGCAGAAAGGAAACCCGCGTGCGGCGAGCGTCCCCCTTGGCCCGTCGGGCCATCCCGAACTGTCAGACAGACGGATCGCTGCCGGGAGCGGAGCCCACCTTGCTGCCGTCGCCGCCCGCACCGCTTCCGTCGCCGTCAGCCCCCGAGCCGTCTCCGCCCCGGTACGGCGAACCGCCGGCCCCGCGCGCCGACAGACCTCGGAAATCCAGATTGTACTGTAAAAAGAAGAAGAAGAGAGCGGAAGGGATTCCGTCTTTAATTATCGATATCCTTTTTTGGAGACCATATCGAGATCGTGAATGAGCTCGAGTTATATGTGCTAGCCAAATTTTTTATTCTCATTGTGTTATAAATACGGTTTTGATAATAAATAATAGCTCTAGCGCTGGGTAGGTGAGCTGCTTACTATATATATATCGAATAATATTGTCGCTAAAATATTTCAACTGGTTGAGAAATTGTTGTTATTTATACCGCATATAGTAAACATTGGTATACTTTGCTATTAGTATAAGCATATATATTTCTGTATGTGCCGAAAAATATGTAAAAATTAAATTTTAAAATCATTTTATTAACGTAAAAAATTATGATTCAATTAAATTGATTTAAAAAAAATACGTGAAGAAGCATGAAAAATTTCATATTTCATAAAATTTTCTACAGCAGCTCTGTCTTCTGCAGTCCCAAAACGTTCGCTTGGCCATATGTCGTGCGGTTGGAAGCTTCATTTTTCAGGAGGATTTGTGGCAATCTTTTTATTATTATTTTTTCCTTTGAAAATGATTTAGTTTAAAAAAAAAAGCTACCTTGATATTCACTTTTTTCAAGTATTCCGAAAAATCTTCAAAAATAAAATAATCATCGTGTTGTAATTATTTTCTAAAAGTAAATATCACTGAAAAAAAATTCGTATTCTTCTTCGCACCGATATTACGATTCAAAATATTTTCATAAAATATCTAAAGCAAACCTCAATTATCAATTATCGACAATGGCTGATACTGAAAAACCAAACATTATGTTGTAAAATTAATCGTTAAAATCGTTCTTACAAAAATCGTCCACGCAGTAATAATTTATAATACACACAAACGAAATCCAAAACACAAAAAATTTCCATCGAATCTATCTACTTTTTATCTACCTTTGACCGTTTAAGATTTCTCCAAAAATAGTTCCCGCGACTGTCAAAACGGCAACCCAAAGAGAGGGAAATACAGGGAATGTTAAATGGAGTTCTGAAATCGATAAAAATCTTACAAGCAGCTAAGTAGTTACAAGCACAATAAGGCTTAGATAGTGAAAAAGAAAAAGCGAACCTCTTGCGAAAAGATTCAAAGTCAGAAGTTTAGAAGTAGTAGTAGTAGTAGTAGTAGCAGAAGAAGAAGAAGTAGTAGTTGACGTAGTAGAAGCAGAAAGAGAAGTGATTAAAGCGCGCTGTGTGTGTATAAAGAACAATGGCTAAAGTAAATGAACACAGAGTCGTGGGCAATCGTCATCTCGGCAGGCTGAAGCTGCTGCTGCCGTGCATCATCTGTCGACGTAGAAGCTGCTGCCGCGCCCGCCGCTGCAGCTCCTGCTTGCGCGAGGTGCTCTCTCTCAAAGCTGGAATGGTTAGCGCGGCGGGATTCTCCTCGGACAAATGGTAATGATTGCAATGGTAATGAACGGGGGCCGGTGGTGCAGCGGCGGTCTGTTGCAATCGATGAAAGAGGGATTGGTCGTTGGTGATCTGCGCCAGGATCTCTTGCAGCAGAGGCAGAGGATTGGGCAGCTCGGCCTTAGTGATGGTGTAAAGCTGTGCGAGTGTTAGGGGATACGGCTGGACGTAGGGCTTGGCGTGGGGTAACATCTGAGGACTAATGGGATACAGACAGTCTTCTTCGCCCTGGCCGGGTACGGCTGGCGGCTGCGAGTGCTCCACGTACAGGGGCATGCTGACGTCGTGCTGGCGCATATGAATGGCAAATGTAAATCAAAAACAAAGTTGTGTGGTGCAAATTTTTTTTTCTTTTTTTTTTCTTTCGATCAATACTGTAAAACTAATTTAACAGTAGCTTAAAAAATACTGTCACGAAAAATGTCATTTTTCATTCTGCCATCTTTCGTGACCATATGGACCTTTCGGTATCTAAAAAATCTATTCTATCATAGCTTATTGCGTCCAGTAGCAATAGAAATGAAAAATGCCAAAAAAATGTTTTTCCAAAAAAAAAACGGTAATCAAGACAGAACACGAGATCGAGACCGAATTTACCTTTGTGGCGCAGACGAAACAGGTGGTGACGACCTTCGATATGACGTTCATCAGATTTTTCGTCTCTTGTATGACGTTGTCGACCTTGACGAAAGTCGCTGCCTTGCCGACCGTGGGATTTTTCACGGTGAACTGCAGCTGCTGCACGTAGGTCGGGACGCGGTCGAGATTCTCCAGTAGTTCCTTTTTGTGTGGCCCACCCGGTACCTGCGCCCATGACACACACGAGAAAATTTGATAAATTATCATTGAAATGGATTAGCACGCTTAACGAATGCATCAAATTACGTGAATCAAAGAAGAAAGTTAGTATTGGGTTGAGGTTTTATAAATTTTTGAAGATATCACGTTCGATCGATGCATTTGTTTAGCGAATTTATACAGTATTATCGCGATTGCTTTTGCTTTGAATTTATTTGCATTGTATGCTTTTATATTTATCATAATTCTATTTATAAGATGCCAAATCATGATCATCTAAGCTTTGCGATCGCAAATTTACAGTAGTGTAATAAACTAAGAGAGTATTTTTAAGTATTATCGATAATTTTGAGCTTGTACAAATGTAAATATATCATCCCACAAGAGGCCAGATTACAATCAATATCGATAATACTTGCGATACTCTTGTGAATAATAAAATTTAAATATTATACATAATATGTATTTATAAATATTTGATATCTAGATATTTATAGTCCTAATTTGACATGATGCTTTTCATTTCAAATGTATATTATCAACGAAAAATCATTATACGTATATATATAAAAGTTACGATAGATAGAATAACAATTGAAAGTGAAAATGCGAGTGAAAGTGAAACAGTACAGACCTTGCTGTTTTTGCCAGCTTCGCGAAAATATTTTTGAAACTCGTAACAAGCTAATATAACTGCCGGTGAGCAGTCTAAAATCGTAACGATATAAAAGTACCTTGTGCTTTTAAATATGAAACCAATGCATGTTTCGAATTGAAAAAAAAATTAATGGCAAGACTTTCGAGTACTTTAGGAAACTGGCAAAAACTTGGGGACGTATTTTTATATATAATTTAGTGAAGTCCCACTGTTATCAGAAGGAGGGGAACCACAATGCACATAGACGTCGTCCACAGACGGAAGCATTCCTGTAGCAATCTAAAACACATCTTACTATCGTACACAGAATAAGTTTTTTTTTTTTTAATTTAATGATAAAACTCCAATACTTATGATGCACACACACAAATAAGTTGAGCCGTCGAAATAATTTACAAACATATAAGATCAACAAGGCAATGCTCAACGTTCATTGGCAATATTCGCTGTAACACAATAATTTTTGAGCATTTGAGCTTCACCTTTTGCATAAACTCAAAAATTTCAAGAAAAAATTTTCTATCGTTTTAGTCCTAAATAAAATGACAACCTGCTGTCGTCATAGGCATGAAATTGTAAACACATAATTAGTTGCAACTAAATACAGTTATTTACACATAATAGACCTATTTTTTTTGTAATGCTAAAGAATAGTTACTAGACGTTCGATGAGCATATTTATGACTGTTATCGATCAGGCAAAATGAAATGTTAAAGATAAAAATTGTAATACAATAAATGGGTCTAAAGTAAAGATAGATAAAGTTACCTGGATGGAGGCATTCAAGAGCGAGGGTCAATCGAAAGGGCGTTATAATACAGAATAATTTACAGGTTAGCACTCGATCGCAGATCGGAGTGTTTTGTGATATAATTTAATAGTTTTGGATAATAAACTATTTTTTTTTTAATGTTTAAGTTCTCCTAACTAGGATGGCTTTTAAGTAAGTAAGGGCAGCAAACATGTTAATATCTCAACTGTGTCTAAATGCTAAGTTATTTGCGCATGAGCTTCATCCAAAAGTTCGCTTTAGAATCGATTGAACAGCAGCTTTGTGATTCGTTACAATTTATATAGTGTTTTCTTATTTTACACAGTGTACATTGTTCATTGAAAAAAATATTGATATTATGTCTATTATGGTGCCCTTAAGGTGTCAATATATAAAATAGTATATTCAGCGTGTAATATTGAGTAAGAGAGGGAAGGAAAAATAAACAAGAAAGTCGATATACAAAGATAAAGAAAATATCAGAGAATAGAGTAGAACGAGGCGATTGAAAAACCCGCGAAGAAAAGCAACTTTTTGAGTCAGTAACTAAGCGATACTAGTATCCAACGACTAAGAAACAAAAGTTGCCATTCCAGAGTATTTGAGTTTAGACTTGCGATACATTTGTCATTTGTTTCATTTTTTGGCTTTTAAACATAGAGTTATTGCTGCGGAAAAGCTTTTTTAAATATTTCTCTTGAGAATACTCGTACTTGAATAGGTTCGTTCAATCGCCTCAACGGTATCGATAGTGTTGGATGTAGCTTGTGCGCAAAATGTTACAAATTAATGAGCAGTTAAAAATAATGAATAAAACAAAAACTTTTAACGTAAATAGTTCCAACAGTTATAAGGTATGTAAGGTATGTATATATTTAAGGTATATTTAACAGGACGAATAATTGGATTTAAGTTTCCAATATAATAGAATTGTTATAGAAAACAAGATGGCAGTATAGATAGTAACAGTTGGTAAGATGATTCAGAACATTTCCAGGTTTTAAATGTAAAGAAAAAGTTTATACGAATTGTGGCGATCCGGTCCGACTTACCTGATAGCTGAATTGTCTCACAACTTTGTACAATCTGTTGGCTTCCTCGGCGAAGTACTCGGCCTGGGTGAATAAGTCTTGGGTGGTCTTGAGGGCGCCCTCGCCCCGCGTGAACTGATACATGGAGAAGGCCATCGAGGACATGTTCTTGGCGCGCTTCACGATGTCGTTGTTCTCGTGCTCGGGCTGGGTGCCGTTGCCCTGCCACTTCTCCGTCTCGGCGTCCATCTCCGTTGTAATGCGCTTCATCTCGAGGCCGGATTTCGCGATTTTCGCTTGCTCCTCGCTGTCGAGCCTCACGGGCTTCAGCGGCTTGCTCGTCGTGCCGTGTTTCTGCGACGACAAAAAATATCGTTCCGTTAGAGCAACAAAGCCAATTCCGAACGATTGGAATAAAAGTGTTAAAATCTTACTCCTGGTCTTGGAAGAGACATGTAGACTTGTTTTTCTGGTCGATTTTGACATAATTCTAAAACGTCTTTAGCTACCGTCGTCACGTCCGACATCAACCACTGCCACATGTCCGCGAATACTGCAAAAGAAAAACGAGTTTCAATTTGAATTATTAGTCCTCCAGCCGCAAGCACTAACTAAGAAGTAACTATTAATGGATCGTTTTCACGTCAAAATCGGCCTACATATTCGAATATATATATGAACTGACCTTCCAAGTTTTCCATGGCGATTTTGCTGGTCGGATGCCTCGATAACGTGTGCGCCGCCGTCACTACTTGTGGTCCATATATTCTCAAATTAATTTCCGTAAACTTGGCCGAAACTTGAAGCGATTCCGATAAAGCGACGTGTCGCAGAAGTTTGCAAACCTGTATGTAATCGATGATAACGTCATTGATCGGGTTATATAGTTGGGCAAAAGTGCCTCTCTTATCGAATTTCCATTCGTTTTTGTCGAGTTACGCGTGGTGCAAATTACATCGTCGACTTACCTCGAGTATGTGCTCCAAGTACTCGTGAAACCGATCGCTGCTCTCCTGCAGCCTCTCGATGTCCGTCGCGAGGGCGACGTTGCGAATCGTCAGGGCGAGCTCCTGGCCGGCCTTGGTGACCTGGCCGAGATCGCCGGCCTGCTCCATGGTCGTCTGGCAGAGCTGCTGGCGCAGATCGCGGGTGGCCCGCAGCACGCCCAGTATCGCCTGGTCCAGTTCCGTGTTGGGCGACGCGCTGCTCGACGTGTCGAAATTCTGCAGAGAAGATCCAAAAAAACTTTTTCATCGGGTCGAGAGAGAGGGAGAGAGATGAAAAGTTTGAACATTTATTTTATGCATATACTGCGAGCTCGCGAGCACATATATTCGAGGATTTGAAGCTCGAGCTTTCAAGAAAGGAACATCGAAAGCATCTTGGAAAGTCGAGCTCGAGGCGCTTGCCACTGCTGCAGCAGCAGTAGCATTTTTGCATTCGAGTTACAAACGTCTCTCTCTCTAGCTAAGCCCTCTCTGCGATTTTCCCTACCATTTCGCTCTCTATATCCAGAGCAAATGAAATTGTTTTTCTCTCTCCCGAGCTCGAAATAAAATTTTAGTTTTACAGAGAAGAGAAAGATAAAAAAAAAAGAGAGCAGCCTCACTATGCTATTGCCGACCCTGAGCAGGGCGTTGAGCTCGAGCTTGGCCCGGTCGCAGAGCAGCAGTATGTTCTCGCGGTGCTCGTGGCTCGTGTAGGCGCTGTCGGTGAAGTCCTGGGTGCGCTCGATCACCACGTCCAGCGCCGTGGTCAGGGCGTCGCGGCAGCCCGCGCTCAGCAGCGTCACCCGCGTCGACTCGACCAGCCGCTCGAACTGCTTGAGCGAGGCGAACACCGTGCTGCTGTCCCAGTCCTCCTGTTGCGGACTCTGTTGTTGTGGGGGGAAATAAGAGAGAATGAGAATGAGTCGAGGATAGATTCGTCGCTGTGCTTTTGTTGTTTGCGCACGTCGACGCGTTTTTTAGAAAAAAAAGCATACAGGATTAAAGCCGGTGCCTCGAACTCGAAGAGCGAGAAAAGCTCCTTACGTATCGAGTAATAAAGTTTTTTAATACTGGGTCTTTCTCAGCTTTCCAACGGAAGTATATAGTCGAAAAATTCGACTCGACGCATAATCCAATTAAGAGAGATTCTTTTCAGGAATATAAAGTACCGCGCGCGCTCGCCACTCGAAATCGCATAATTCACCGAGACAGTTTATTTTGTCCCTCTGACGTTCCTAATTGAATTTAATGAATAATCGTTATGAATAATAATCGCGCGTCTCTGTTTCTGTTCCCAAATTAATTTCGTTCAGCGCTGCCGTGTACGTTTTGGTGTCGCGTTTCTTTGATTTATGCGTCAAAGCGTGTCGATACGCGACGTTACGACATTATAAATTCATGTTCTAGAATCGTGTTATTATTAATGAATTTTACACGTACTAATCGTACACGTGACAAGAGCATTGTAGCGAAAAAAATCGTCAAAATCAAATTACGTATTCGATGACGGTTGCTACCCAGTGAATATGTCATTTTTTTGAGGAAAGGAGAGCTTCAATTTTCTTATTTTATTCGACTCGATGATAAAAAGTTCTCTCGAAACTCATCAGATTTTCGCCTTAACCGGCGCCCCCGGTAATCAACCGAACATATAATCCACGAGCTTTCCGAAAGCTCATTTCCATGCAACGAATATATTTCGCGTTCATTAATTTTTTTCTTTCTCGCTTTATTTCCATCGCTTGAAATAAAAAAGTCGAGAAAGAGAGAGAGAGAAAATATAATAATCATACCGAACGAATGCCTACGTATTATATATATACGCACTTGTGAATTAGAGTAAGTCGATTCGCTGCTCTCGAGCACGCCGTCCTTAACGACGTAATGAATGAGATCCATGGCTCGCCTCATCTGGCAGAAGACCGTGTCCCTGTTCTCCTTGGCCGACGGGCAATCCGGATGCCTCAAGCAGGCCTTGCTCGACGTCAGGAGCATCATCGTGCTGCGCTCGAGCACTTGGCGCGCTGCAGCCATCTGCGCCCTGCGCCTCTCGTCTTTCAGATCGTTCTGTAACAAGGCGGGGGAGTGCATATAGTCGTGATATAAAGCGCAATTTATTCATCTTATGATTGACGTTACGTGCGCTATTACGATCGTGTGCACTTTTTTGCCCGCGCGAGCAGAAACGAACGGTTTATCACGCGATGTTATAATTTGTGGTTTGTTTGAAAATTAATCAAGTCGTTGAATGTATGAAATGATAAAAATATTTACATTAAAATTAATATGTATTTCCTTCGTATGATAGACAACAGCACAAAGAGAAATAGAAAACTATCGGGGTCTGACAAAATTGTTTGCTTAGCAAAAATGTTCGTCATGGCTGTTTGGATTTGTTGCATGAGTGAGACTTGAGTCAGATAATAGGCCACACGATGAAGCAATTATTGTCAAAGCATTAAAATAATCTCTGACTTATACAATTATTTTGATTTTGCCACTTGCAGATTTACAGATACAGAGGTACTCGCCATCTAGTGGCGGAGGTTGTCTTTAATTTTATTTGAATTTCTCATACATTTTTTATACGAGTAACGCTAAAACTAAAGCAGTTTAAAAACATTCATTTACAATCAGAATATTGAAATTTGATTGTAGAAATGAAACCTTTTTGTTTATTTTCGCTTTATGTAGGGTACTTATACCTGTGATTGACCGCTTTCGACCAGTAAAATGACCACTTGTAGATGTGCAATAATTATCATTTTTCCTTATTAAATTATGATCGAACATAGAAAACAAGATGCATCCTGCACTAAAGAATTGAATAACGTCCATACAAATATATTTTTAATTGTTTTTCATATGATATTTTCCAAAATGGTCATTCACTGGTACCCGGTCATTGATTGGTCTGACTACCCTATGTGACTTTTTAAAAAAATCATCAGTACTGATACATTTATTTTTGACGAAGATTTCCTGTTAAAGTACCTCAAATGAAATGCAGTCTCGATTACTTAAATATTAATGTCTGATTTTACATTGAATCTTCATCAAATTGTGAGTTTTGTGTTATGATCTTAAAAAAAATAAAAGAGAAGAAATAATTTTCATCGATTGTAGAATTGAAAAATTATCGAAACAAGCCGTGTAGTACAACGCTTACCTGCCGATCACCGGTCATGTGCGCGAGCTCCACCATTTCGGCGCCGAACTGGCTGAAGGCCTTGACGAACTCCGTGAAGTTGGACACGCTCTCGAGGCGGCCCAGGCTGCGCGCCACCTTGTCCTTGGCCATGAGCAGCTGCTTGACGACCGTGATGTCGGCCAGCAGCAGCACCCGCGTCACCGCCCCGAGCAGGCCCTTGGCCGCGCGCACCACCGCCTCCCGATCCATCAGGGTCTCGTCGATCGCGCACTCGCATAATTTCTCGATGGTCGAGCCTATTCCAAGAGAGAAAGAGAGAAAACAAAACGTTATAAAATATCCTTATCATTACGACTTTATATATAGCATTTCGTGTAATATAATCGTTATATGCCTATAGGCTCGCTGCAATTCGACGTGGGTGCTTGCGCAGCTATTATTACGTTAGGAAAAATCGCGTGCCTAATGGCCGTATATCAATCGATGAAACATTCATCCATTGCATATTAGATCTCTCGCAACGAAAGTATTTTCAGAAATATCGATTACACGCCAATCACCGAAAGCGCGAGTTTCGTATCCTTTGTTTCACCTTGCTACCTTGATATCCCCGACTCGCTCTTTTTTTTTTATTTCTCTTGCTTCGCGTTCAACGTTTTCTTAGCTAATAATGCTCGAACGCAAATCCCCGTACAGCCAGACCAAATCCCCCGATGAATAAAGTAAAAATAACAAATTTGCATGCAAAGTTTTCTTTCTTATTTTCAGAAGTCGAGTTTGGGAAACCCATTCTGGCGTACGAGTTGTCCTTTAGATTTTTCAAGGTAAATCTTATCTTGCTCGTTTTGTTGCTCGCGCATTGCTTCTATAAAATATCGCTTTCGAACTTTCATTGACTCGATTTTATTTACCAAAGCTATTTGCTACCGATGCATTCGATTGAGAAGAGCAATAACATCATTATTTTTGTACATTTTTTAAGACTCTTGTAGCCTCTAATATGAATTAAAATTTTTTTCCTAAATTTTGCAAATTCTCATACTAAAATTTCAGGAATTGTGACCTACTTCATTATTTTCTGTTTTCGAACTGAATATCGTTGTATTCTTTGATATTTAATACATTTGAATAAATACAATGTATAATGTCGCATATGAAAAGTTCATGAATAATGATAAACAATTAATTTCGCTTTTCTGGGACCTTTCGCAAGCACGATTGATTTCATTTTAATTTCGCGCGTGTTTAAATTCTATGCGCGAACAACATCAAACAATAATCGAGTCATTTGAAATTCTCATTAAAAATAGTAGAGCGATATTACGAGAGCGCGGAAAAAGGAAATGGTTGACTCTATACCTAAGCTCATGAATATTTTATTGCCTATAACCCAGGTTCAAGTAAATGAGCTATTAACGTGGAAAATTGCAGCTGTATTTTTTGGAAAAGCGAAGGGAAGATGAATAAAACTTCTTACTGATTTTCAAAAAAAGTACCCAAACTTTTCTCGGACTTCTCCGGCAATAAAAGCAATGAAAAATATCCTGCTCTCTTATAACGAGGTTGAATTGCCGCTCATTAGTTCCATTAAAATTACTTAAGTCTCTTGCGATATAGCTATTTTGCCCTTGTAAAATCAAACAACTTCATTTTTCATGGAAGTGATTTGTAATAGAGAAAGATGTTGTAGAAACATAAAGTCTAGTTGAGAAACATTTGAATGTCAGTGCGTGTTCGTATCATTATTATTGATTGCAATACCCCTGGTAAAAATGTTTAACATTTTATTGTTTGTTTTTTATTGAACAAAAAAGTTTCTTGTGGACGTCTAAAAATTAAGGACCAAAATTTTAACGTTTTTTTTCAATACTTCAGGTCTATTTTTTAACGCACTAAGTTTTTCCGCGTTACGTTTTGATTGATTTCCTACTTCAGAAATAAGAGAGTAACCTGTGTAAAATTTTCTTTTTTACCCGGCCATCACTTATACAATTATTTTGACTTTTTTGCTTGCAGATTTACAGATAAAGGGGCTCGCCATCTAGTGGTGAATACTTGAAATGGTATCATAATATTTAAAGATATTTAAAACTGGTTTTATTTTGTTGAAACAGATTTCGTAATTTAAAACATTTCAAAAGGTCATTGGTTGATAATTTAAGACCATTATTAATGTTAAATATTTCTACCAAAGTTTCTCGTTGAAAATTATTGATGTTCAAAAAAAATTTTTTTTCAAGATTCGTCAACTTACAAAAATGTTAAAGATACCTCAAAAAGCACGTTTTTTGTATAAATAACGTCAAACGCGATTACCGATAAACGTCTTTGTTTGGACGGGACAAATCGATTATCAATTCAATTCTTATTCGAGTCGCTCTTCAGTCTATCGCGATCGAAAAGGAGGTCAGATCTGCTCGGGGCAAAATTTGACAGACACCGCGGCACACCACCGCTCAATCAGGATCACACTGTTTTTGTCGTCGCGATCGCGTACAATATAATAAAATATTAAACACGCCGTTCTCCGATCGGCGCGCGTCAATAATTTTATACACGCGGAAATAAAATATCGAAAAATCAATGCGCGGAAAAATAATTATAACGGCCAATAAGTGTGTGTGTGGCTTTTCGATGACTGAATTATAACGAGGCGTCGCACATCATCGATATTTATGCACGGCTCCTTTGAGTAATTTATCGAGTCACCTTGATACAACCAAAGCTTATTATAAGTGCAGCATAAGTATATATGCATATAAGCGCTCGCCGAGACGGACACGAACGAGCGATATACACTTACACACACACGGATAGACCAGCATGCCTACTTATAGCGCACAAAGTGTGTGTGTGTGTACGTGTGCATAGCCGCAATATTCACGTGAAGCTGCACATAGCAAAAGTTATTATAATACGTGCTCCGCACAGACGTTGCATTTAAATGCGCGCACTTAGCGGTGGTGGCTGCTGCTGCTGCAGGCATACACACATGTGTGCAGGTGCATATAAGAGAATGAGAGAGGCTTCGCGCGACGCCGCCGCCTCCGTTTAAAGCATTTAGAGTGTGCATGCAGGCGAGATACGACGCGTAATGTAACGCATGCAGAAGCTGCAGTTGGCGTGCATGTGCACTTGGTTATCGATACCTTGACCTAAGCTCCCTTTTTTGCACAGCTTCGATTCTTCAATCAGCTAGTGTGCTCGTATTTACAAACGATCTTTGACAGTAAGATCCACTACGTTCAATGTTCTGGTAGTGGAGTTACCTATACACGCCTTGGTAATTAATGAACGCGTAAAACATATAGTTAAACGGGAAAATATTAGCGCAAAAAGATTTTTTCCTTTTAAAAGATAAATGACCCTATTTTTCGCTCTTTATTTTTCACTCGCAGTACACGTCGATTATAATGGATGAACAAGCAGTCGGCGCATTGGAAGAAATAAAAATCTTTGTGCGTTATTTTCCACGGGAAATCCGCGATAAATTTTTTTTTTGTCTTCTTTCCTTTACTTTCCTTTTACCGAGAGAGCTGCACACGGCTGCATTACACAAAATTGAACAAAGCATTCGTGATACCCTTTGTACGACAACCTTTAGCTACGAGGACGTCGACACTAAAATTACTCCACTGCTGCGAGTAGTCGAGTATTCGTGTATACATGCACTGGGTGGAACGAAGGGCAGCAGCAGCAGCGGCATCAAAGCAACAGTTTTGAGCTTTTGGACTCATCTTGCTCGAACTAATTAAAATGAACGACTTTGCGAGCCGGTCGGTTGCGACGAAAGAGAGAGAGAGAGAGAGAGAGAAGACGCTGACCCAAAGCAGCTAGCTAGAGAGCCCATGGCTATATGTACCCGTCGGTCCTTCCTTCTCAAAGTTATTTCACCCCGCGGCTGCGGATAACGATGATTATGATTATGATAATAATAATCACAAGAGTCAACGTTCCTGAATTTCGACCCGGCGGCAGTTATACTCTGTTTTACATACACGCGCGTATCTATATAAGTAAGTATAACATAGTTTTAAGGGCGTTGCATTGCGAATCGATCCAGCGACTTACACAGCCGCCGCTGCTGCCGCCGCTAACTTTGATGAAAGTAATGCACTCTGTGTGCAGTAGTCATTATATTAGAAAATACATTTTAATTCCAAGTCTCGAGCCTGCGCTTATGTACGTGTATGTATATACCAGCCGAAAGTTTATTCGTTAATTGCTCTGTGCGCGGAACTGTCAGGGAGTTTCTGCGAATCTTCGAGCATTGTGGTTGAACGCATCCATGAATAATCCTCTCGCGGCTCTCCCTGGCGCGCGCTCATTATCCTCTGCGCTCTGTGCTCGGCAAAGCCATGAGATTTACCCGTGTTCGAATAGCTATGTGTCTGTGTGTGTGTGTGGGTATGTATTGTGCGAGCTCGCCAAGTGCGCGTGAAATAATGCGAAATTTTGTAAAAGTAATTCGATAGCGTTTAACCGACCAACGTCTGTGCCGATCGTAAATAGAATATGGATTAAATTTTCGTGGCGACGATGTTTGAGAAAAAATCGAATTTTTTTCCCTTTACGGAACGTATAGCCACTTAGACGCAACCAAAAAAAATGATATATAAACTGACTTGACCCGGTCTTCGGGCAGAAAAAGTACAGGCCAGTCGGTTAAATATAGCTCTTTCTCAGACTATCGACAAGTCTGATCTCCCCGAGCTTTTTTCATACTCTCTCTCTCTCTCTATATGGGTTGCAAAAAAAAGGAACGAGAGAAGAAACACGTGGTGAAATACGATCGATTCGGTTATTAGCGCGGAGTCTTGTTCGGAGAGTGCCACGACACCTGCTCGACCTGCTCGCGCGCGCAAAAAAAGTGTAAGGCAAAAAGTGCTAAAACAGTTTGCCGAGAGAAAGTGTCGGTGATACGCGCTTGAATTAATGATAATTATTAATTTTGCATTGACACGCGTTTGAATTAGTGAGTCGCGTGAATTATTAAGGTAAACGTTTTTGGACCCAGTAACCTCTTTCTCAGACCCGTTTATTAATTCATTATTTGTGAGAAAGTTTTATGACAAGGTTGATTTTCGATATTAAATTGAGCAGTTCACCATTCGTATCAGTATGCAGCGGCGGATTAGAAAAAATGCCATGTCATGTTTATTTAAATTATCTTTTGAGACAACTTCCTCGGATTTTTTCTCACTTTTATCCATTTTTGTGCCTAAATTTAACGATGTAGCCTTCTTAGTGTGACGGAAATTAATTGAGTAAAATTTACGTTTTGATATTATGGCTT